GCTCATTTGCCGGTACGAATGTGTGTGAGTAACTGGTGGTGCTTTAAAAGGATTGGAAAAAATCGAATAACTATGAATTATTTTGGAGGAGAAATCGTAATTTAAATTGGATTACGTTCCCAGAGCGCGTTTTACTCATTCAGGAGTCTTAATATTTGAGAGAAGACTGGAATATGAACTGAAAAACAAATGCATTTTGTGTTTGTAGAGGTTTAAACTACAGGGTTAGCAGGTTCTTTCCCATAAAAATTATATTATGTTGTTTGGAGAGGACAGCGTTTTACAGAAAGAATTTGACCGTACCTTCTCGAAAATTCGTTCTTCTCTCGTCGGATTTCTGAAGCTAAGCTGGGTTGGGCCTGGTTTGGACTTGGATGGGAGACCGCTGGGAACACTAATTCACGGGGCGGCAGTGGTTCAAGTACAGGCTGTTCTAGTGTTTTTAGGCAAGACACTTGGCACAGATTGGCAGCCGCACTTCCGATAGTCTCCTCCATCCAAGGCAGCTCTGGCTTCAGTGAACGAACAGTGCAAAGTGAAGTGTCTTTGGAGTGTCTAAAAGTGTTCTCTGAAGCTACGGCCAGACTGCTTCATGCTCAATTTGGATTTTTTTGTGAAATCCGATTTTTTTTGCGAGGTCGTTCACATTTCCAGTTAAATATGACTTGTACGTGATCTCCAGTGTGAACTTTAAACGCCCCAACAGTGTCCCGCATGTGCATCGGAGGACACGATGACGTTAAACGCAGCGACTGTGCTCAGGGTTTACAGAAGTCTAAAATAGAGTCCAGTTCTTCGTAAAATGGACAGGTTACACATCCACAGCCGCTTTGTTTGTTTGAGTCTTTAGCCTCCTTGTATTTTCTCGCAGGCTCTTTATTTTTTTCGTTGACATTGCCTGTAGCCGAGCTCGGACATTTCTTTGACATTCATTTCAAAAACCACCTATTTCCGATAAGACTCCTCCAATTTGACCTAAATACAGCGATCCCCTCAGATATTAATTAACTCGCTAACCTCGCTTTCCCTTCATTGACTAGACTCTGCGCCTGACGTGTAGGTGGGATGAATGCGACCTGACCGTTCATACTGAAGTCACATGTCAAAAGATCAGATATGTATCGGTTTCAGGAGCACATATCCAAGTGTCCTGGGTCACATTTGAAAAAATCTGATCTGTGTCGTTCAGACTGTCATTAAAAGATCAGATACAGGAGCCTAGAGGTGAAGAAATTGGACTTGGGTCACTTTAAGCTGCAGTCTGAACGTAGCCTAAGCCATTCTTTATCGTTTTGGTTTGTTTGTGTAGTAATCTAATCTAACATTATAACATGCTTTAAAGATTTACAGAAATGTTAGATAGAAACATGCACATCCAGTTAAAGTTGCGACTGCGTGCTGGACAGACAAAAATTGTGCAGAACACCTGGGCCCATGTATAAAACAGGTGTGAAACTGAACCGTTCACGTCAGAAGAACAGTCACATTGTGGTGTTATTAAAATAAAAATCCAGGAGCTCCAAAGAACTGCAGTGCGAATCTGTTTTTGCACAATTAAAGATTTACAGAAAATATATGTTGGAATAATTTACCCATGTCAATTTATATAAAAAGTGAATATGTCATCGTGAGAAATGAGCCTTGGTTAAAGAAGACCTATGGGCACTATTCATACTTATATCACAAACCAGAAAGACGATGACAACTTCCGGTAGGTTCTGTTCGTGGTAGTAAGTCTGAAATCTAGGAAAAATTAGAAAATGTCTCAGTTTTCTTCATCTACATGTCACTGTAGGGTCCCGTTATGTTCGGCTAATCAACAATTCCAATTATACCTCAGTTTTCATCATTTCCCCACTGACACACAACTCCAAGTCCACTGAGTACATGTGATTAGAAGAGACGAGGCGCCAAATTCAAGATGATTCCAAACAGCACATGCGTATTCAGTCTTCATTTTACAGCTGATCACATTTACTTCAGTGGGTTTGATCACAGTCACTCGGCGAGCCCAAGTTGTCGTCGTAAGTTTCCAAAAGTCTTCCTGGTTTGTGACGTAAGCATGAATAGAGCCAATTGTGCTTGTGTCTGCTGTATAGTTAGAATCTATGACACCTGTGGATCATCGTGTTAGAATTTGGACATTTTAAATTGCAATATTCATCTAAAAAGACTTCATTAAATAAACAAGTCTACAGATGACGAGTTTTTCATTTGTACCAAAATGGCTACGTGACGCTGTTGAATCCTATGTATATCACAGGTTAAGCAAATAAAACTGGAGAACGAAGTAAATAAAGAGCACTGGGCTCATACTAACGGCACTGAAAATGTAGCCAGGCTGGCACCATCTAGTGCCTCCGCTCAATTTCATTTCCCTCCAGCAATTAGGTCAGGAATCGGAATACACTAGACGCTTTGCAAGAACCCAAGAAGTGCACCGGCCAATCAATGAAGAGCTGTGAAGCCATGACGTCAAATCGTCGCGCCTGTCTGTGTACCTTTTGTGGTACAGCACAATAGTAAACAAAGCGGTCGAGATGGATGTAGACGAAGACAGACATTCTGTGTTTGCAACGATTCCCGAGATCGAGGATTTAAAGCCGGAACAAAGAGAATGTTTGGTGAATTTTATCAAGGGGAAAGACGTTATTACCCTTCTTCCTACGAGATTTGGCGTGTTACATACGTCATGACCAAATATGCTTTTGTTAAATAAAAAAATACCTGCCTACCATCGAGCGAACAAATCCTAATGCTGCGAGGTCACATGGTTTCCACCAAGTGAAACCGGCTGACGAATCAGGCTAGGGAAAATGGGGGTTGATCGGCAAAATGGCATCTTGAAAATAAACAATTTAAGATTCCTCAAACATGCACAAATCAGTCCAAATACAACTTCATGAAGGTAAACGAGAAGGGATACAACTATAAATATGGTTAAAAGCTCTGAAAGTTGATTCAGTCTCAGTCTCTATATCTGTCCATGTCGTCTCTCAGGACTTCAGTTGTATCTTAGGTTCGTGTGATGCCATGTAGTGAGGACTGTCCCAGATGACAGGGGGACTATGGGGACCGGTGGGAGTCTTGTGAAGTCTGGATCAGAGCCTGTTCATGGGAAAGACCAGCCTGGGACCAGTCTGAGACCACTCGGACAAATACATGTCACAGCAGGACATTTGGTCTTATCACGAGATTATCACATGCTCCTGTCCCAACTGGACACGCTGTAATCCCCCCTCATCAACTTCCACTGCACAATCTGATTTCTGTTTTCAATATATCCATACACCACAAAAAGTAGAGCCTTGTGAATACAGAAGTACATTAAAAACATGTATTTATAATTTACCAGAGTTACCAGACTAGAAAAAACTATTTGAGGTTTCTTTTAGTTCTATATTACACACTTACATTTGAAAGATTAACTAACAAAAACACAACTCACAAGCATGTTTTAATGAGGAAACCACATCATATCAGATCAGAAAATAGTTCAATATGGGCCCTTTAAGTTTGGTTAAATTAAGTATCTGATATCTGAATTAGAATCTAGATTTATTTTACAGTTTTTTGTATTATTTCAAGCTAAATTATGTGTCCATTATGTCATTATTTTCATTTTTTACTGTATGTCGAATTATTAAAAACTATTTTCTATCTCCACTAACAAATTCCAAAAAATATGAAATATGGAAAAAATAAGACACTAAACAGATTTATTTTAAAAGTCAAAACTCCAGAGCCACTGACAATTTAATACAACTTCCTGCAATTTCTGAATTGAGGCCAATATTTTGTCACAGCTGTGTTTTTGTATTGTATATTTAAAAAAAAAAAATAATAATCTACATCCTCAGTAGGGCTCCAAAAATAAATTTAATTAAATAAAAAATAAATGAAACCATCAAACTAGTATCTGTCTTGTAAATCTAATTTTAATGATCCCAAAAGCCCTCTGCACACAGTCACACGGTGAGTGGATGAGCACAGCCCTGCCCTCTGGCCTGACTGTGTCATCTTTGGCTTGGCCTACAGCAGCTTCCGTAGCCGTGGTGACCTCTGACCTGGGCCTTGTTTGTTTTCAAGGTCTCCAGGAAGAGTCGCTCTGTGTTAAAGTGTGTGACCTCGTGTCCCGAGACAAATGTCTCCCATGAGAGACAATAAAGGATTATCTTATCTCTTATCTTAAGTGTCAGAATCCTTCATACAGACACTATATGCTCGGGTTTAACATGTCCCCTGTGTGATTTTATTTACGCTATTTTTATCTTGTATTATAAAATATGTTTCATGCATAAAGAGAACTAAACTGAACTGTATTTAACTTTTAATAATTGCACAAACAGCTCCAGATCTAATAATTACTCTGTGATAATGTAGTTTTTGTTTTCATTGTAATGATACATAGAAATAAAAGTCACAATGTAGTGGAATGTACTTGTGATATACAAGAGGTGAAGGGGTCACTGTCCCTGTCACCTCTGTCTGATCACATTAAAACATGTACAGTTTGACCTCACAAACTGAACCTGTTAACTCTAGGGTTTGTTTGTAACTGTCTAACAGTGCCCTCCAGTGGATGAATCGTGTACACATCTGACATGTCCGGATGTTTCACTAATGTCCACGAGGTGGCAGCAAATTTATATAAATATTCATGCAAACGCAGGCGCTTTTCCTAATCACTGATGTGAGACAAAACTGGGGAGAAAGACAAGACAACTGAAAAGTTATTTTGAAGAAAACAATGAAAGCAAATGGTCAATGGTGCTACATCTGGAATATATTATTATTCTTATTTATTGGCCCAATTCACAAAGCACGTTCCCAGTTTGAAACACTGTGTTAGCTGACAAAGGCAATAAAAGCACAAGTACATTCTTTTTAGGAAAGAAGTCACCAAAAGGGCTGTTTAAGAATGTTTAAGAAAATACTGATGTTTATTTAGACACAAGATAAATATATTCACTTTACATGATTCAGTCGTACTGCTCCCATATTATTCTTACAGTCACTTGTCCTGTTATTTCATGGCATGGTTTCATGGTTTGTGTAGCAATTGTTCTTTCACTTTCCAGTCTGAGCGCTGAAGACAGCAGGGAGGATTAAAGCATAATAAAATGTTATTTAGCTTCACTGCTTTCAGGAACATGACGTTACGTCACACATGATTAATGCTGCATAGTGCTGAAGTAAACAGAAACACACTGAACATGTGTGGACACTGTGTGCTGTGTACAGGCCTTCAGTTTGCTGCAGGACATAGCGCTGATACATTTGCATGAACTGCAGGTGTTGGACCTTTAAGTTGAGTGCGTCACGAGGCAGGAGCTGAGCTACACTTATTTTGGGGGTCACAGCCTTAAAGGTTTAGGTCCCCCTGTTTTAGGCCTGCAGGAGCAGTCCCACAGAGGCCCCTCAGTGTGGTCCTCTCCTGGTGCAGGGGGCTGTGGTTTGGGCTGGGGTCCTCTCTCTCTCCTGGTTCAGGGTTCTTATATTTCCTCAGGCCTGCAGGAGCTGTCCCGTCAGGGCGGGCGTCCGGTCTTGGATCAGAGTTGATGTGATTTCAACGAGCCGTGACACTGACCTCTCCCAGCTCTCTGGATCCTAAGAGACACAAACAGAGTTATAGACTCAACAACATCACATGAGTCATCTCAGTTACAGGCCCTTTTCACGACACTGCACATCACTGTTCCAGGTGTATTTTTGAACAAAAGCTTTATTTGACAGGACAGTTATAACCTGAAATGGGGATCATAGTCATTCGGTAAATGGTCAGGCTGTGAAGCAAAGGCACAGTGCTGCGGTGCTATTAACCACACATGTGCCACACCCTGAACCACCACATCACCGACGAGCACGTAGACAATGGAGACAAGCAGAAGGAGGCAATCCCCAGGCCAAGTAAGAGTCAAGTTTGTGGAAATGCAAGCCCACTTTTTAAGTCAATAAAAATATCCAAAATAAAAAAACAAAACACGCAACATGTGTGTGAACAGCTCTGCACACTGCACTGTAATGCCTCTACCCTGACTCTTGCCTCACAGTCTACACTGGGTCTACAGTGGGTCTGTAATTAGTCTGCAGTGGGTCTTCAGTGGGTCTGCAGTGGTCTGTAGTGGGTGTGTAGTGGGTCTATAGTGGGTCTATATTGGGTCTACAGTGGGTCTACAGTGGTCTGCAGTGGTCTGTAGTGGGTCTGTGGGTCTGTAGTGGGTCTACAGTGGTCTGCAGTGGTCTGTAGTGGGTCTGTAGTGGGTCTACAGTGGGTTTGCAGAGGGTCTGTCATGGGTCTGCAGTGGGTCTGCAGTGGGTCTGCAGTGGGTCTACAGTGGGTCTGCAGTGGGTCTGCAGTGGGTCTGCAGTGGGTCTGCAGTGGGTCTACAGTGGGTCTGTCGCGGGTCTGCAGTGGGTTTGCAGTGGGTCTACAGTGGGTCTGTCGCGGGTCTGCAGTGGGTTTGCAGAGGGTCTGCGGCACAGACGGTCCTGGTTTCCATCTTTCAGTGGTTTTGCTCGTGGCTCTGAGGTTTTTCTTTGAGTTGCCGTCTGCTCTGCGTCACAGACTCATGTGTTGTATTCTGGAGTTCTTCATAAAACCGTGTTGAGATGTTGCTATGTGCTGTTCAACTGAGTCATTAAAAACTCCTTAAAACAAATAACTTGAATACTTGAAAGAGAGTTGTGTTAAAGGGGCATTATGTGACTTTTTGAATGAAGGCTTTATTAAGGGAGTCCTGACCAAGACTAGCTCAAGATTTGGAGATGGGTCCCACTGCTCCTGAAGTACCCGGCGACCTTGAGGGATGGGTCAAATGCAGGGGACAGATTTCCCTATGAGGTCCTATATTACACAAAAAGGATTTTAATGAGCTTTAAGCAATGTTATAATTAGAGCCTGGCCGATATTATCGGCCAATATGGGCACCTGGAGACATATCGGCTATCGGCCGATATGCTTGCTGATATGGGCCGATATTTCACGTGGGCATGTTATACCTCGTTATAAATCTTAGACTCTCTACATTATGTTCATTTAATCCAATTTACAGACAGATAAATGTCCTAATATGTGGCTCCGCATCAGTATGTATCTGCGGTGTAATTTGTCTGTGTCCGTACTGTCCCTGAACACACCACCAGAGTGACGTCACTTCACTCGCGTGTGTTTGTTTACACCCGCAGCGGTGCGCAACACTGAGATTATATTCTTTTTCGGACAATCGGTTTGAGTCTGGATTAAAAGGATATTTATTAGTGCAGATTTGTGATGTGAGGAGGAGCCTGTGTGAGCGGTGAGTGTTGGAAATACATCGACTTTGAAGCTAGTTTAGGTTTTGTTAGCGGTTAGCTGCTGTAGCTCTCCACACATAAACAGGCTGTTTTCTATTGGTCTATTGTAAAGTGACTACATTGGCCGTATATTTGCTACTGGACCTGCATTGATATGTAAATGAGCTGTGAATAGACGTGTGAATGATCCACATTTATGCATATAATTAACTACCGCGGTGCGCAGCATTTACGGCTAAAGGCTAATAGCGATAGTTTACTAGCTAGGAGTTATGGGTCGTTCGCGATCGAAGCGGCTCTTAGAGCGAACAACGGGTGCTTCTTATTGGGAGCCGTGTTTTCTCTTTTTCTCACTTTTTCTCTTCATGCCGCATGTAGACCCGTAGTTTGACAAGAGCAGCGGCTGAAAACGAAACTTTCAGAAATCTGCGTGTGCACAGGATTAAAAAAAAGTGCATATTTGGCTGCAGTTCAGCATAAAATGAATAAACCAGGACTAATCTTGGGCTCGAGTGCAGGAGAGAGATAGAAACCGAGTCCCGACACTCAGTCCTGGTTCAATTCTGGTTTAGTCCTGCTTGCAACAAAACAATCTCAAGAGTCGCTTGGGAGCTGAAAGAGCCAGCTGCTTTAGTGAGCCGAGCCAAAAGAGCCGGTTCTCCAAAAAAAAAAAAAAAAAAACTGGAATACCCATCACTAGTAGCTAGAATGTGATGCAAAAAAATGCCATTAGGCCAATCTACTGTATGTAAATATGATGTAAAGAGTCAAAATAACAATAAATGTTGCCTAAATAAACCCAATTTAGAATCCACTAGAGCCAAACCTAAGTTTTTTTTATCAATTCAAGATTTACAGTGAATTTTTACATCACTAAATATATCGGTGATTATATCGGCTATCGGCAGCTCCAACTCACATTATATCGGTTTCATATCGGCCACAACAAAATCCATATCGGTCGGGCTCTAGTTATAATGTTACCTCATCAAAAACAAATGTAGAGTTGTGTTTTGTTTCATTCACAGATGTTTGAGTAACCCTTTATTATGAGTCTATCTACATCTCAAAAGCTCAGAATGCCCTGTTCCACCTTGTGATGTCATCAAGCTGCAGTTAACAGCTATGCTTTACCCAGCAATGGACATTACCAGAGTCTAAAAACACAGTGGAGTCTTTTGGAACAGGGTATTTTCAGATCAAGAGAAGAACTCAGCCTAAATATGCAGGATTTGAGTGTTGTGTCATGTGTCGGTGAAACAAAACACAACTCCAGGTCTGTTTGTGGTGAGGAAACAACATTAAAACAAAGCTCAGAAAACAGCGTATCATGGGCTCCTTTAAAGCAACAACATCTCCAGGTTGTGTTCCCACCAGAAAAGCTCCACAGCACATTTGATTAAAACGTTTAATAGTGTAAAGCCTGTGTAACGTGTCTCTCGTCGATGGTATGTAGCGTGACTAGTACTCTCCTCTGATTAGACACTTGCTACATCTGCTTGCAGTCAACAAAATGCAACCAAAATATTCGTCCGTGAGCCCCATGCCTCATCGCTGATCGGTCCGGGGGAGAGACAGCTTCTCCTGATTACAGCTACTCGCTTGTTTACCCCATCACCAATCACGCTGCATTCCTCGCGCTGGTATCTAAAAGCACACGTTCGATTCGCACGCCAAAAATCACAAAGGGTGCTTGTGTTTGGTACAGAATGATAAATGGGACGATCGCGATGCCACCCAAGAGCCGTGCTAAGGATCATGGGAAAGTTGCGCCGAATCCTGTAGAACGCTGGGAGTACTGGAGACAGATACAGGCGTCAAAAACCACAACTAATGGTGAAAGTGCCTATGAGAGATTTTTATGATTCTTTAATTTTGACTTAATTTGGATGGATTATGACTATTGTAAATATAAATGATAGTTTTACACCAATCAAGAAGCAATTTGTGGGGAAAGGTTGAAAAATGTGTTATAAATGACAGAAAATAGAGTTCAAACACTGATGACATTACGCTAGGGAGAATTCTAGTCAAAATTTATCCACATTTTACACATTTTACACATAAGAAACACATTTTTAAATTCATCAAAATAAAGGTGTTTTCTTATATTTGTCAGATAATTACTTATGTGTAGCCTGGAGGAGTTTTTTTTCTAGGTATCGATTTGCAACGAAAAAGTAAAATTTTAAACCTAATAAATGTTTTCCCATTGGGAAAATAAGTGTGAATGTTTTTGCAAAAATCTTAAAGGGAACAGTCCAGAATTTTGGACATAGGACCTAGTGAGCCAGAGTGTTGAAGACGTGTGGAGACACTTTTTTAAATATTCTATCCAGTTCTTGTGTTTGCAGAGGTCGCTGGTGCTAGGCTAGTGCATGTTAATGGCCATAGTTAGCTTGCCACTAAAAACAGTCTTACCCACTCCATAAAACACCCGAAGCAAATCTATTATTACACCAGACTGTCGATGTAAATGTCTGTGTTGACAGAATAATTTCAGAAGAAAAAACAACCTTGCATTTGAAGGATTTATGTCTAAGCAGCAGCAGCGAGTTGTACTTCCCGATAGAAAGCTTGGCAGCGGCGGACTGATATATGAGAAAATAGTCCCTCAACATGCCATAAATCATGCAATGAAAGTTTAGTTTTATTTTAAACATTATTCTGTCAACACAGACATTCACATGGACAGTCTGGTGTAATAATAGATTTGTTTTAGGTGTTTTGTGGAGTGGGTGGCAGGCTAACTATGGCCATTGACATGCACTAGCCTAGTAACAGCGACCTCTGCAAATACAAGGACTGGATGGAATATTTTAAAAATGTCTCCACACATCTCTAACACTCTGGCTCACTAGGAAATGAAGTCCTATGTGCAAAATTCCAGACTATCCCTTTAAATATAATGATCTCAACAGTGAAATTAGTAGTATAACCTTATATAGGCATTGTGGAACTTTTCCAGTAGAGGGTCCGTCAAATGCTTTTCTCTGTGTAGATGTTATTGCTTGGTCTATAATGTTTCACAGTATGATATTAAACCTTTCTCTCTTCATGGAGACCAAACCTGACCAAGTTACAGGTAAGATCTGTGGAGAGGCGACTCTCGCTCACTGTTTTTTTTTTTTTTTTAGGTATTTTTGAGCCTTACAACCACAATAAATGTAAAGTAAAACTGTTTAATGTAATACTGTGAAACATTCCAGGCAGAGATGTGATAGATCTAAAGAAACAAGCAGGTGACAGACCCCCAACTCTAAAGTTACATAGTGCAGCTTTAAGTTGCCTGGCAGCCACAAAAAGACCAAAGA